GTATGTATATGTATGTATATGTATGTATATGTGTATATACACACACAATATTTTATTCACAATATAGCATTCTCTGTAAAAAAAAAAAAAAACCTTACAAACAAAAAGTTTTTTTAAATCCTTCTTTGCTCAAAAATTTTCATCAAATCTGAGCTTTATGAAAATATATAACAATATATCACATTAGTAATTAAACATGGAGACATTTTCAAGCTATAAAACATTTTTTTGGAAGATTAACATTACAAGAACATTTGGCACAAAGCAGTTTTAAAAAAAAGCTACCAGGAATGGGCTGCAAACAATCGACTGGCCTCAAAAGAGAGAAACACTTAACCCTCCTGCTGCCWTTGGGTCAAAATTACCCAGGAGGCCCCAGTTTGTAAAGTGAATCCTCTCGGATCATTTTGACCCTATAGTCAGCAGGAGCGTAATACTGGTGGTCACCTGAGTCAGAGTATCTGTGTATTAACAGCTAACAGTTTTTGAACATGTCAGGTGTTCAAACAAACAGGAGAGAAATCGCTACAAAAGTCACGATGAAGGTTGCTCGATCCCTTTAATGAGGTCGTTTACTCCTCTGATGATCTGTAAACTTTCACGCTCCGGTCGTGCTTCGGTCTCACTAAAACCCAGAGAAAAGCAGTCTCTTCCTTCAAAGCAAGCATCGTTTTTTTTTTAATCTTAAAAACACTTTTAAAAACTTGAACTGAGAGCAAAGTATGTACCATAAAATCTTGAATATATATTCAAAAGGTGACGATTCAAAGATTAAATAATAAATAACTCAATGCAGAGCAACTATTTGCAGTGTTTTATCACCCTAAAAAGGCAAATATACATTTAAAAACTGTTGTAAAGATAAAATGTATATATGCAAAAATACCTTTTTTGTGTTTCTTACAAATGCAGTGCCTTTCTATAAAGAGGACATTCTAGAATAAAGTGGAGACAGATTAAAAATACCATCAGTGTAACCAAATATTTGTGTTTTGTGTTACAAAGGAAGACGGACAGAGTGTCATAAAAAAATAGAAGAACTGACGGAGCTTGTACGTGGCATAGAAACGTCTATACTTGTATTGGGAAATAGAGAAGCTGAGATGAAGGGAGTTATTCTCCGCAGCAGCACAGACGAGGTCTTTTCACTTCAAATAGACCAACACGAGGCCTGGCTTTGGCTCAGTGAACCTGAGAGATGCACAGATACGAGAAGGTAGGTGAAGATGAACATGTCTTGTTGTTAGCACACATACAGTGTGGGGGTGTGTGTGTGTCTTTACCTGTAGTGTTTGTTGGTGAGGTAGTCTATAACAGCGGGGCGGATGCGGGCCACTCCCCCCTGGCTGTGGTTCCCTCTTCCTGTGATGACAGACAGATGGGGCTGGCAAAGACCCTGCTCAAAATCTGTTCCCAAAGACACATAAAACACAAAAACAGTTAAAAACTACATATTACAGCAGCCACTGACTTCTATATCTGTTATGCTGCGGCCCTCACACTCTTAATAATAACATTTGGTTTTGGATCTATGCTTCGATAAAGTCTGATCAGCCTGAGTCAAAGCTGTTTTCTGTAAGAGTGCATAAACTACCTGCAGTTTTGTCGTGTAAGACCTGAGCCAGATGTTCCAGGGCTTCGTCCACATGCAGCCCGTGGAGGTCCAGGATGTTTCTGGGCAAAAGCGACGAGTTGACCCGCTCAAAGATTTGAACTGCTGCTCTGTAATTGGCTTCACGCACCCGCTGGCCATGCAAGTGTCCCTGAGGCAGAGGAAAAAAAAATTATAAAAATAATAATAATTTACCTTTCAGTGTAGCATTTCATCAGTGATAAAGTTATTCAATCGCCTATTTATAGATTAAAAAACAGGAAAGATGTATAACAGTTAGCTTAATGGTGTTGAAATTGAGATAATGCATATTTAAAATATTTTTTAAAACAAAATAACTTATCTATTCTTTYCAATCTTTTTTATATATTAAGAGGTGAACAATATAATTCACGAGTTATTTTTATTGTTGTTCAGTTAAAACAAATATGTGTTTCAGTTCTGGGAGTCAAATGTTTGTCTCTTCCTCCACCGACTCCTTCATCATCAACTGAAAATAGACATCTATCTCTGCCAAATGCTCTGTCGAAGCCTGATCCGACCGTGTTAAAACAACAAAAAATAAAATAAATTAAATAATAAAATATTTTTTACATTGTTGCTACACAATGTTGGGACGATAAAAGTGTAAATTTTGAAAAATGATCAGCAGCTCTACATAAAGACAAGGAACAGAACTCATTTTTACCTCAACTACACTCATAATATGGCAGCAAACAATTATTAAATGRCACAATTATCCCTCATCCTTTTACCTGTTGTGCATAAAACGAGGCCACTTCTTTGCGCCCCTGCTTGTAGGCCTCTGAGGCTTTYGCGAAACTCTCGAGCTGCCGCTTCCTCTGAAGGCAGGCCTCAGCCCTGAAGTCTTCGTACTCTGGGTCCTCGGTGTCCTGGTATCTGGGTACAGTTGCCTCCGGGTGCCTCTGCTTCTGCCAGAAACAAAAAAACAGCAAGAAACTCAGCTAACGAGAGTGGAAAGTGGTTAATTTATACATCACGTCATTACTTAATGACATTACCTTTAGGCACTATGTCTTTTAGATGCGATGTGGATGTTAGTTTTACCCTTGTTCATTATAAATTAAATCTAATAAACACAGAAATTAAAAGTACTAAAAGTATTTATTTTTTAATCTTTATCCAAACTTTTTCTTTTATGCTCCTCTATAGCCAAACAGTGCTAAATTTCATTTCGAGTTCCTTATATACAGTATTATATTATATTGTATTGTATTGTATTGTATTGTATTATTTTATATTTCTAAAATAACTAAACAAAAATGGCTATAGAAAACTGAAAAGGTAAAGAGACGTGAACAAAAAAACGTGACCACAGCACAAGTGTGCCACGGTTCGTCTCTCTTCTCGTGAATACCTTTTCTCTTTCTCTGCTGGCTGCTCTGTGGCGGTCAGACTGAGGAGGTTCTGGAGCGACGACGGTCTTCACGGGTTCCTCGTTCAGGAGCGAGCGAAGAAACAGCTCTGTCTGGGTTAGGCTGTAACTAAGTAAAGGAAATGCAGATTTTAAAAAAAATGTAGTAAAAGGTATTGTGGTAGCAAGGTAATGTGTGAGACAAACTCATTTTCTTCCTCTCCCATAGATAAAAAAGAAACGTTAATTGTAAAAGTATTTTCTTTACATGGAAATAAATAATAAATTATTAGTAAACGATTATTTTAGTGAAAATAAGTCTGGTTTTGAAGAATTTTAGGTTGACATCCACCACTGCTGAACTCCTATGCAGACAGAAAACTGGTCTTTTAGCACCTCTGACTCTGGGCCTCTGCTTCCTTCCTCCAGGCAGCTGCAGTTTTCTCTTTTAACACAAATCGTTTCAGGGAACTCCGAGCACAGATTACCTTAAACCACCATACACACACAGAGCTGTCCCGCTTTTTGTTTCCCAATTTAGATCTATCCTTTCAGCTCAACACTTTCTGCACTAACGCCATTGTAAATACGTGCGCACACTTGCTAAGCCGAAGGATTTGCCTGCCCTCRGTTTGCATTTCCACACCTGGCATAAACCAGGTGATGTGTGTTCGCAATCCAAGCGGCTCCAATCTCAGTTTTTCTTACTTGTGATCTCTGAAGATGTCCTGGAGAAAATGCTTGTCAATGGTGGGGAACAGTGAGAACAGTTGCTTCTCCTTTAACAACGTGGCTCCATCCCAGCGGTCAAGGTCAGCACGGCTTTGTCTGGTCTGAAAGAGAAGCAATGAGATGAGTTAAAGAAAGAAAGAAAGAAAAAAGTTGTTTTCCTGATAGGAGACACAAGGCCAGGGTGTCTTGTTACCTTTTGCATATTCTCCTGCAAAACCTGCTCCTCTTTTATAATATCTCTGAGAGAAACCTGTGGACGGGACACATTCCAGTGGTCCATGACTGGCATCTGACCACTGGCCTCTGGCTGGCCGACCAGTGACTTATCACCATCTTTGCGCGTTGAGAAGTTAGCTGGGTGCGTCCGGTCTCGTGGTTCATCAAACCGTCTTCCGGAACCTAAATATTTTTTAAAAATTTGATATAATTATTATTTTTTTGCATCGGTATTGTTGCGTTCCATTCATGCTGCTTCGATATCATCTAAAATTCTGTTCGAGTGCGTTAAAACTTACTTTGCTGAAGCAAGTGAAAAGAAAGAGTAGCTTGTCTTTGTTTTTCCTGAAAAAAAAAAGATCCAGCTAAAACAACAACCCTCTGACAAAGGCATCAGAGCACAGACATTGCAGGATAAGGTTTTGCAGCATGATTCGCTCTCACCTGAATAGTTTCCTTCCACTTTTGGTGGAGCAGCTTTGCCAGCTTCAGGTCCATCTGCACGGCAAAGTCATCTGCTGAGCATGTACCTTAGCATAATGAAGCAGACAGAACAGAGATACAATTAGACTTGTGATTTTTATTTTATCTGCAGTTATTTCCTCCTTAAGCTCTAAGCTTGCTAACACTAACAGTGCACTGGGTGTAAAAATCTGAACTACGGAGGCATTTATTTAACTGTTTTAATTAATTTGGGGAAAAGCATGTAAAACAATTACAAATCCTATTTTTATTTTACAGAAAAGAGCTGTAAGAATTATCACCAGAAAGCATTACTTTCACCCATCAAATATGTTGTTCCATCAGTTGAAGTTATCGAAATTCTATGATTTGGTTGATTATGGTATTTTATCAGTCATGTATAGGGCCCATAAAAACACCTTACCTTCAAACATCCAATTACACTTCATTAAAAGAGAGAGTTGTTAAAATCTCAAGGGGATAGAAATGTTTGTAAGACCTAAAGCTAGAACCAGTTTAAAGGAATGGAGTACTTCAGGGAATTAAGTTATGGAATAATCTGGAAGATGAGATTAAAAACGCCAGATCAATATGTATATTTAAGAGAATGATAAAGGTTAATTTGCTGGAGAAATATGCAAATGTATGAATTGTTGTTCAAGGAGTTAAAGTTATTATTATTTTCTTTTTTTGTAAACTGTAGATTATGTTTGATTGAAATTATTTATTTGAGAAAAAGGGGTAGATATAATAAGATTTTTTCTTCTGCTACCTTTCATTTAATTTATGGTTTGTATTTTTGTTGTTTGTTGTTGAATTTATGTTGTTGTTTTTAAATAAATGAATAAACTAAACTAAAAAAAAGAATTTAAATCTGGAATCCCAATCTGTACTTCTAAAGCTCTTTACAGTGCATATGTGGTGTTAGTTACCCAGGTCTACTCCGACGGGACCAAACAGCTCCGTCAGCTGTAGAGCCAGCTCAGTGGGCAGTTTGAGCTCCACAGTCTGAATTTCCAGGCTGCATCTCTGCATTTTCCTCTGCTCAGTCTCCGACTCGAGCTCCTCGAGTTCAGCCTGCAGCAGCCGATTAATCTCATCCATGCTGGCGATCTCATCCTGAATGTTGGTCCTCGACTCGTCGGTGATTTCCTCCTCGTTATTCACGCCCCCAACCCGAGCTCCTCCTCCTGGACCAGGCTCTGACGTCACCTTGTGGTCAGTGCTGATGCTCTGTTTTGATTCCTTCTCTGCTTCTGGGAGGTTAAGTTCTGTTTGAAGAGCTTGCCCTAAATTTGGAGTTGTACTTGACGGTTCCTCGTTTGCACCTTTAGAAAACACCCCCATGCTTCCTTTTCCTTCATTCCCACACGTTGACTGAAGGATGTCCTCTTTGAGCCCAGTTTGCTCTCCTTTCAGACGGTCTTCATGTTGATTTGATGCGTCGGGACATTTAACAGCTTCTATATTTTCACATAAACCTTCACCTGGACCGGACGTAGTGTTGTTTTTATCAGCTGCACCGTGCGCCTCCACCTCCTCCTCCTCCTCCTTAAAGAACCTCTCTCCAGAGTCCAGCAGCAGGTTGGTAGTCCACTCTAAGTCCTGGTGGCACTTGTCATACAGATCCTCCAACGTGTCAAAACTAACCAGCTTAAAATGGCAGCTGAGAATGCGCAGGCTCCCAAGCCGGTCTTGAGTCACCCCGAGCTCTTTCTCCTCCACCTGAGTGCCTTTCTCGTGCACCCCGCGGTACGGGACCTGGTCTGCGAGTGCTGCAGCGGAGGGCCGAGGCACGAAACGGGATGAATTACCCTCCGTGACGTTGATGTCGCTGGACTGTCCACCCACAGGCACGGCTGTGTCACCAGAACTGTTGGGACGATTGAGGCGCCAGAGAAGAGCAAAGTCCCGAGGTTCTGTCTGAGTGAAGCGACCCATTTCTATCAAAACAAGGGAAGCCGGCAGCTGTGACTGTCCATCAGAATCAGAGCTGGGAAGCAGGTCCAAGCCTGGTTTAAAATCACAACTGGTGCCGTGAGCAGGACTGAAAGTATCTGAGTTAACTCTGTTCATATCATTGTCTTTGACATCAGCTGTAGTGCTTAAATAGTCTGAACTGTTTAACGAAGAAGTGGGGCAGTTCTGAGTGAATGTGAGGGCAAGCTTACACTGCTTCCCCGATCGACGACCCTGTCTCTGCTTTCTCTCCTGAGAACCTGTAGTGTTTTCTGTAACCCCCTCACACGCTGGACTCTCACACGTCTCACTGACGCAGCTGTCGTCACCCTTACTTACAGCCCGTCTCGTATTTTCTGCAAGTTCTTTCAGACCCACACCTCTGCCGGCCTCGTTTTGAAAGCTGGAGTTTTCTAGTTTGTCTCCACATACAAAGGTTAGATTCAAATGTTCAGTTTTGAAGTCAAGCAGCTCTCTACCAATGTCAGACACATCTGTATGCTTTTCAGTGATTTCAATTTCAACTCTCTCCCAATCACTGTCTCTCAAATTCACGACAGCGCCCGAGTCGGCTGTCTTCCAGTCTTGGACGCAGTCGGGTAATTCCCCTTTGCTGCTGGCTCTGCTGCCACCTGCCTCGTCTTCTTTTTGGATTTCATCTTCAGAGCTTTGCGAAAGGGACTGGGAGCATGAAGAGCCAGTGTGAAATGGGACCACACCGGTCTGAATGAGATCAAGAAGCTTTTGAAGCTCAGTGACACCTGAACCGGACTGCTCACTCTTCACTGCTTCATCATCAATGGCTCCTGCTCCAGCTTCGTTCACATTCATCTCATTAGGCCTCTCTCTTCTCCTCACCTGTCGCTGCTCAAGAGATCGCTCAGTGGGCCAGTCTCCCTCAAAATCTAGCATCTTGCCCCCTTCTGCCTCCTCATGCTTCGCCCTCTCTCTGTCTGACGAGTCGGTATCTTTCACTAGATCTACTGGCTCCTCCATCTCTACACCACACCTCCTGCTTGCTCTCTCCCTCCTCACTCTTTGTCCAATAGATTCAAAGAAAGCCCCTTGCTCTTCATCCCCAACTTGATCTTCATTCATCACTGATTCCACGATACAGTCTGGGATTCTCTGGTCGCCTCCTGGGTGGTTTGGCTCAAACTGGGCGTCTAGCTGAGAATCCAGTTCACCCAAATCACTGTCAACATCAGCATTTAAACTATCAGGCCTGCCGATGGCTTCTTCCCGGAGACTGAGTGACTCGGTGGATTCGCAGAAAGCGTCTTCGTGGACTCCCACTGTTCCAGACTGGCCGAGAGACGACACGTCAGGGAGGGAGGAAAACAACTGAGGGTGGGATTTTTTATGTTGCTCAATCGGTCCAGGCTGCCCTACGAGGTCAGGGCAAGGCGAGCCAGAGGTGAATGGGCTAAAGACAAAACAAAAAAATACATTTTAATTAAGACCATAAAAATGGTGGATATAAGAACAAAAAACTAAACCAATGATTTGAACAGTTTGTGTTGATTTGAGGTGCATGTAGGCAAATTTGAGTTATTTTACTCAATTATTTGACTACGTGACTAAAATATTTTTTGCATTTGATTTTAAAAAATGCAGTTAAACATTGCAATTATAATATACGATGGAGTATTAGGGCCACGCAACGAGACTTTTAAAAAAATTTAAATTACGAGAATAAAGTCATTAAAGTCATACAAAAAAAAAGTCATAATATTATAAGAGTAAAGTCGTAATATTACGATTTTAAAGTCATAATATTACGAGTTTAAAGTCATAATATTACGAGATTAAAGTCATTATATCGTAGCCTTTACACGAAAAAGCATGCAGTTACCACTGCATTAAAATGAGGAATGTTGAGCAACTTGTCAAGTTGTTCTTTAGTATTGCAATAAATAGTTAATCTTTTAGCATATTAGCATCAAATTATCAGTAGCAGAACTTAGAAATTGTGCAAACGACTATAAACTGAAGCTGTATTGTAATTAAAGGATGCACTAACGGATTTAGTCGTCAGTTAATTTGAATGAAAGCATATTAAACAGTGACCCGAGTCATCATGGACTACTTTATAAACACATAGATAAGGCTGTACACAGCAGATGTGAGGAAAATAAGGAGGAAATGAGGAACGGGAAATAGACACGTCATGATTATGACTTTTTTTCTGGTAATATTACGACTTTAATCTCGTAAATTATGACTTTATTCTCGTAATATTATGACTTTATTCTTGTAAAATTACGACTTTATTCTTGTAAAATTATGACTTTATTCTTGTAAAATTACGACTTTAATCTCGTAATATTATGACTTTATTCTAGTAAAATTACGACTTTAATCTCGTAATATTATGACTTTATTCTAGTAAAAT